CGGGTAAAGACTATATGGTTTTTAGTGCTGCATCTCATAACAGATTGGGACGTGTGCTTATGTAAGAAGGGAAAGTTGTGGCCTATGCCTCGAGGCAGCTGAATACTCACGAGAAGAATTACCCGACCCATGACTTAGAATTGGCAGTAGTCATGTTTACTTTAAAGATTTGGAGTCATTATCTGTATAGTGAGCGGTGCTATATTTATACAAATCACAAAAGTCTAAAGTACTTGTTGACTAAAAAAGAACTGAACTTGAGGCAGAGAAGATGGATCGAGCATTTAAAAGATTATGATTTGATCATCGATTATCATCCAGGGAAGGCTAATGTGGTAGCTGATGCACTTAACCGAAAGACTTTTACAGCTTTACGAGCTTTGGATGAACGTTTATCATTAAAGAAAGATGGCTCCTTGATTGCTGAGATTAAGTTAAAGCTGATGCTATTGGATCGGATAAAAGAGCTGCAAGGAAAAGATGGAAAATGTTTGACAATAATTGCACTAGTAGAAAAAGACGGGACTAAAGATTTCGAAATCAGGACTGATGGATATTTATATTATCGTGGAATACTTTGCAATCCAGATAATTAAGAACTGAAGAATGATATTCTCTCTGAGGCACATTATAGTCCATTTACTATGCATCCAGGCAGGAATAATATGTATTAGGATATAAAGAGTCGTTATTGGTGGCCTGACATGAAAAGAGCTATTACAGAGTTTGTTGCAAAATGCCTAACATGTCAGCAAGTAAAAGCTGAGCATCAAGTGCCTTCTGAATTGTTAAAACCGATATATATTCCTGAGTGGAAGTGGGAATGAGTTACTATGGATTTTTTTACAGGGCTACCTTTGACACCCAGTAAAAGGACTCAATATGGGTAATTGTGGATAGATTGACCAATACAATTAACTTTATTCCAGTTCGGATATATTACTCGATGGATAAATATACAGAGTTGTATATAAAAGAGATAGTTCGGCTGCATGGAGTGTTTATTTTGATAGAATTTGACCGAGATCCAAGGTTTACTTCAATATTATTGAATTCTTTGCATGAGGCAAGATGACTCCATATGAAGCCTTGTATGGGAGGAAGTGTCAAACACCATTAAATTGGTTTGAGCTAAAAGATCGAGATCTAGTTGACCCTGATTTAATGAACGAAATGGAAGATAAAAAGAAAATTATCCTTGATAATCTTAAGATAGCTTCCGATCGAAAAAATTCTTATGCTGATCTAAAGAGAAAATAGATTAAATATTAAGTATGAGATAAGGTATTTATGAAAGCATCACTTTGGAAAAAAATATTGAGGTTTAGGCGCAAATAAAAGTTGAGTCCGAGATTTATTGGATCTTATGAGATTTTAAAAAGAGTCAGACCAATAGCTTATTAGTTAGCTTTGCTTCCCGAAATAGACAATATCCATAATGTGTAGATGCTCAGGAAGTGTCGATCAGATCCTTCGCATATTATCACACAAAAGGAAATAGAGATCCTACCATATTTGACTTACAAAGAAGAACTAGTACGAATCATGCCTTGAGAAATCAAAGAACAACATAGCAAGATGATTCCTCTAGTTAAAGTGCTTTGGCAAAATCATAAACTCGAGGACGCTACTTAGGAAAGAGATGAGGACATGAGGAAGTAATATCCACACCTCTTCACATCAGTTACATTTTAAAATTCGAGGATGAATTTTCTTAAGGGATAATTATAATACCCCAAATATCAAGTCAGTGACTAAAATTTAAGGATTTAAAAGTTGGTGGTTTAATTTGAATAAATTGAAAAGTACAAGGAATGATTTTGGAAATTGTGATTAAGACTTATTTTTAAGAATGAAATAATGGAGGGGCATTATGGTCTTTTAGCAGGAAATAAATTTAATATTCATTTTTAGAGATATTTATTAAGTGATGAATAGGAGAAAAAGAGAAGGCTGGAACTTTGGTTCTCTATTCTTCTTCTTCTTCTTCTTCTTCTTCTTCTTCTTCTTCTTCTTATCTTCCCCGTAACTCCATTGTTAAGGTAAGATATGTTTCAAGTTGGTTATTCCTTTCATTTTTGGGTTGGTTTTGAAGCCTTGAGTGATATAGAAGCTTAAGGAAAGGTTAAGGATGAATAAAACTAAGATATTAGTGAATTGTTAATGAATTAGTAAAATGGGGTTTTTAGTGAATTGGTGAAATTTGGTCAGTAATTGGATTTTAAAAGCATATTTGACTTGTCAAAGATGTAAATAAGAAATTTGGAGCCTTAGAAGTGATTGAAAACATGTTTGAATATTTGGTGTGATTTATAGTTTTAAGTGTTCTTTGGAGAATTTAGATGTTATAAGGAGATCTATGAATGTAAGTTAGCTAGGATAAGTGATAATGAGTTTGATGGCATGGTTGGAGATAAGAGTAAGAGATTTAGGTGAAATTTGGGTAAAAACCGAAGTGAAATAAGTAAAGTCTAGGTAAAGATACCAGTATTGGAAGAACAGTACCAATACTATAAGGTTAAATTGAAAGAAATATTATGAATACGATGAACAATATCGATACTGATTGAAGTAGTATCGATACTGATGTGGAGGTATCGATATCAAGAGGAAGGTATCGATACAGTAATTGAAAATTGGATTTCCATAATGTAAAAATGGTATCGATGCTGAAGTGGGTATCGATACGATAGGAGAGAAGTATCGATACTGTAGGAGGCGTACCGATACTATTCAGTCTGAAAGTTTAAGTGGATGGTTTATTTTTTTTATATAAATGCGAATTTATTAATATTTGATGTATACTACTAGAAATTAATGGCTGAGGGCTGAAATTGAAGTTAAAATGTGAAATTAAGCCATTTTGGAAAGTTGGTAAAGTTTAAGTACAAATGGTGAACATTTAGAAAGTTAATGGCTTAAGTGGTAATTTTGGTATTGCTGAGATTTTGGGTTGTAAGTTTAATGCTGGAAAATTTTTGGGCTTATGGGGGCTTTAATTTAAGAATTTATGACAATGGCCCTTTATGAATAAAAAGGAAAAATTAGGATGAATTTGAAAAGAATTTGAAAAGAATTTGAAAAGAATTTGAAAATAATAATACTTTTGAGTATTATTATTTTGTATAAATATTAGAAAGTGTACTAACATTGTATTTTATATTGTATGTGTGATTATGGATGCTTGTGTAGATCGTAATCAAATTCCTCAAACAAGCAAACAAAAAGGCAAGGATAAAGTTACATAATAGTCGGACTACATTAAAGTATAATATTGAGGTATACCAAGTGAGTGCATTTATTATGTACTTATATGATATGAGGATGCCTGCGATGAGTCAACCTCGAATGTTTTGATAAAAGTATGTTTTACTATATTTTAAAATATTTTTATAAAGTTTATGAAAATGATTTTACGAATAATTTTAGAGTATGAATTGTTCTAAAATAAATGGATGAACTTTTATATTATTTTAACAACTAACGATGTTTCAGAATAAATGTTTAATCTGCGAATTTAATTTAAAGGTCTATTGTATGTGCATTGAGAATCGTAGGTGCATTTCTACATACTTTGTGTATGATGGTTATCGATCGATTTTTTAATGCATATGTTGCATTTTTGTATCAGTACTATGTGTACTTTTGGCACTATGTGTGCATTTATGGTATTCATAATGAGTTTGTGAATTACCATTTCGTTACCTTAGTATAGTGTTGTTGTAACTATAGAACCTATGCTTTCGTTTATCACTTATGTGCAACTCATGTACCTTGCATTCTCATTCAACATATATTGGGCAAATAAATGGATACTTTGGAAGAATACTGATTGATAGGTATATTGGGCATACTAAATATTGTTTCGCAGGTTATGTGAAATAAATTTGGTTTAGCAAGTCAGTTTTATGTATTACTATTATTTTTTTGATTAAATTCATATTACTAGATGTCTCATCAGTAAGGAGTAAGAAGTGCAACTGACATTATAAATCAAAGGATGCCTCATCAGTAGCTGTATGACATTTATGTCTACTTTTGATATTACTAGATGTCATGTAATAGATTTACGATGTTGCTCTGGAATGTTTTGGACTTATGATGTTGTAGTATTAAATATGTTAGAACTTTAAGATTTTTTTACATAATAATAGTTAATAAATGTTTTTATTATTACATTAAAATATTTATTTATAGAAACAAAATTTTACTAGTTTTCAAATACGAAAATGTTTTAAAAGTCATGTGACTTCTGTGACTTGTGTACGGGAATGTATACGGGAAATGAGTGTTACATAAGAAATTTTCTCCTGTTCTTCATGTGCTATAGCAATTTGGTTGTATCCATTACACCAGTCTAGGAAAAAGTAGGAAGCTGTACCGACAAGACGATCCAATATTTGATCTATAAATGGTAATGAGATGTGATCATTACTTGTTACCTTGTTGAGCTTTCTATAATCCATGGAGATTCTTCAACCAGTAGTTGTCCTTGTCGGCACTAACTCATTCTTATCATTTTCCACCACAATAATTCTTTCTTTCTTTGGAACACACTTGATAGGGCTGACTCAATTTCTATTTGAAATAAGGTATATAATGCCAACATCCAACAATTTTATGATGTCCTTTCTAACCACTTTTTTCATGATTGGATTTAGCTTTTTTTTATGCTCAATCAAACTACTATTAGGGTCTTCTAGTAGAATTTTATGCATACAGAATGCTAGATTGACACCTTTAATATCGACAATACTCCAAGCAATGGCACTCTTGTGCTGCTTTAGAACAACAATCAACTTATCTTTATGTTTTGCTTAAAGTTGTGCTACCATAATGACTAATATAGCATCCTTATCTCCAAGGTAGGTATACTTCAAATGCTTAGGAAAAGTCTTCAAATCGAGCATGGATGACTCTTCAATGGATGGTTTAGGAGCTTGAATGGATCAGTCAGGGAATTCAAGAGACTTAAAGTTTTGCATGTAATTTCTATAACATTATACTTCCTCGTCTCTATTTAACTCCTCAATTGTTGCTATAGTGTTGGTAGAATCATGGATGTTGTGGCATTCATTCCAATGCTCCTGCGTAAATACATCAAAAAAATTAATAGAAAAAACATTCAACTATATTATCAATATATGAAACATTATTCAAAACATTAAAAGTAATGTATTCATTATTCAAAACATTAAAAGTAATGTATTCATCATTCAAGTGCATAGTAAGTTCCCCTTTTTTCCTTATCAATCAAAGCTCAACCTGTAGCAAGAAATGGGCAACCAAGTATGATACGAACATCTTTGTCGGCTTTGCAATCCAAAATGATGAAATCAATAGGAATGATGAACTTGTCTACTCGAACCAACATATTATTCATAATTGCACAAGGATGCACGGTGGAACGATCATCAAGTTGTAAAGTAACAGCGGTATGCCTTACTTCTCCACTTCTAAATTCCTAAAATTTGACAATGGCATTAGATTAACGTTAGCACCCAAATTACATAAATCTTTACCTACAAATTGATAACCAATAATACAAGGAATAGTGAAACCCCTTGGGTCTTTAAGTTTAGGTGGTAATCGACTTGTAGCCATAGTACTATATCCTTCGGTAAGAGCAACAATCTCGAACCCTCCAAGCTTTCTCTTCTTGGAAAGAACTTCCTTCATGAACTTGATGTAGTTGGGATTTGCACTAACGCCTCAATCAATGAAATGTTGATTTTTAGTTGTTGAAGAACATCAATAAAGGCTCTATATTATTCACCCTCTTTTGTCTTCTTGAAGTATTTAGAAAATGGTGGAGGCATCTTTGGTTGTGGTTGCTGTGGAATAGGGGCTGGAGAAACATCGAGTAGTGTAGGCATTGCTACCAACAATGGTTTAGGATTACTACACATTCCCACTTTTCTCACTATGGCATTCTCAATGGGCATCCCAGGATCAAAATCTGTGTTTTTTCCCTTATCATCCTTGCCCCCTTCATCACTCTTCTTTGGCTCTTCAACATGCTTCCCAATATGGATTCAATTTTGAGTGGTAATAGCCTTGCAATGCTCTTTCCTTTGCTTCTTGGTATTTTTCAGTATCACTAATAAGCGTCCCTTGCAATCGATTACTTAAAGCATTCACCATTTGGCCCACTTAACTCTCTAGAGCCCTCAATGAAGATGATAGGCTTGACATGTATTATTTCAGTAATGCTTTGAGTGATGATAGATTGGAAGGCTATGTTGAATATTTTCCTTTATAGTTTTGCCTTTGTTGATACTGTATAGTCAAGTAATGTACTTAAGGTTGTGGCATCCCTTGCTAGTTGTACTGATATGGTTGTTGGTAATGTTGTTGTTGAGGATTGACAACATTCTTGCTCATCCAAGACAAATTGGGATGGTTCCAAAAGTTGGCATTGTAAGTGTTGCCATAGGAATCATCATTCCTATTGTAATTTATCTCATAGAAGATGGGCTGGGGTTTTGAGGGCACTCTTCAAAATTGTGACTATCTCCACAATAAACTCAAGAAAGACTAGTTGTAGCTTTTACCTTATAAATTCCCCCTGGTTTTACCATATTCGTCAATGTTGAAATTTTAGAGTCCACAGAGTTGAACTCGTCAGTTTCCACTGCTGCAGCATTACGTCTGCTGAACATGTTTCTCGTATTTTGGTATTGGTAGTCATCGTTTGATATCCTCTACAGAATATCGTAGGATTCTTTATAGGTCTTTTCTAATAGAGCTCCATTTGCTAAATCATCCACCACCTTACGAGTGTGCATGTTTAACCCATTATAGAATATTTCCATTTGAGTATAATGTGGGAATCCGTGCTTTAGGCATTTTTGCATCAAGTCCTTAAATCTTTTCCACACCTCGTACAAGATTTCATCTTCTAGTTGCTTGAATGAAGTAAGGTCATTTTGGAGTTTGGCATTCATGTTCAGAGGATTGAATCGCAGGGGAAAAGTTTTTTCTCGCTCCTTCCAAGATGCTATAGCAACAGATGACAATGATGTCAACCATGCCTAGCTTTGTCGCGTAGTGAATAAGGGAACAACTTCAGCTTTAATACTTCTTCAGGAAGTACTTGTTGAAGAAATGAGTCACAAACTTACATGAATGCTCGAGGATCTTCAGTAAATGACTAATCATATTTCCCCATAGACTGTAACATCTAAAACGTCACCAGTTTCAACTCAAAATTGGTAGCATGAATTTTTGGTTGCACAATACCAAGATGTAATTCATCAAGCATGGGCACCACATGCTCCTTAATAGGCCGGTTGTGATCATCCATATTGTAGAATTATTGATGCCCATCTCTATTTCCAACTGAAAATTCATCATCACCTCCATGTTGTAGCGAAGGTAGAGTATCGTTACCCTCAACATTCTATTTCCTTGATGTATAGTAGATTATCTATGACTGTGGTGGAATGTTTTATTCTATCTCCATATGGAAATGCTCTAACTCATTATCACTTTGAGGCATATACTAAACAAACTGTTAAAGATAAGTACCTAAAAAGAAAAGAAACAAATAAGTAAATAGTAAAATAACTCTAATGTAAAATCGATGCTCACATGTAACAACGCCAAAAACTTGATTCTATGTAAATGCTATAGCAAATTGCAAGTATACATTATCATATCAAGTAATAAAATGGTAACAATAAAGTTACGAGTGTCGAATACCACAGGGAGCAAAACTTGTTACAAAAGTGTCTATATACAAGAAAGAGATTGATTTGGTGATTAACAAACAAATAACAAAATAAGAATATCAAGATTGTTAGGATTATGAAAAGACTCAATTGAGCAACCGAAAAAGTGCAAATTAATTGATATAATTGAATTTAGGGAGTAAGTAAAACAAAAAGATATGACAATTTGGCAAAAAGATTTAAAGTGGTTCAACTTATCAACCAAGTCTACATCCACTACCTTAGCTCATCACTAAGGATTTTCTAACTATTTCACTAATTTGTTCTTTATATTTCAAGGACAAAGAGATAATCTTTACAACTCCTTATCTTTTCAATTGGCTAAAATAGAACAAAAAACCCTTTACAAGGAAAAAGAATGTAAACAAGAAAAACCTCTAAAAGGAAGGTTGTTTACAAATTAAAAGCTTACAAGAACAAAATATTTACAAGAGAATTGGAATAAATAGTGAAAATCATTTCTCTTGTGTTGTATTACTTGGATAGGTGTTCTAACCCTTCTTCAAGTGTCCTCAACTTGTATTTATGTGTTGGAATGTTGTTGTGGCCATTTCTAGTCATTGGAGGTGGTTTGAAGCCGTTGGAGATCAATTTTCGTGCAAAATAAAGCTACCCAGACCAAGGGGTATTGGTACTCCTAAAGGGAGTATCAATACTAACTTTATTATATTTAAATCAACTAGCCATTACTAGCCGTTGGGGCCTGATGGTATCGATATGATGCCTATGGTATCGGTACTACTATATAAAGTAGTACCGGTACCCCTTTGGGTATCAGTACCATTTTTGCATTCTGGAATTTGAGTAAAGCTGGTAGTATCGGTACTACCTAGTGATAATGGATATTTCCCTTACCTTTGGTATTTATACCATATCAACATTATCGATATTATTCATGATGTATCGATACTGTAAGAATAGTATCGATACTACTTGTACAGAAAAATGTGTTGATTATGGGAACACCCAAAATTTCACCATCTTTGACATAGTTGTACTCCATTGGGCATGAGAACTCCCTTTGCACTAGATTTTGATTATTGAGGTCATCTTGAGTTTTCTCATCCTATACTTCTTTCAATGATGATTCACAAACTTCATTTGGATTTAATATACCTACATTATCATCAACACAATAATCCTTCCTCGGAAGGGGATTATCATCGAAAACAACATGTATGGACTCTTATACCACTAGAGTTCTTTTGTTAAAGACTCGTTAAGATTTAGAATTTGAAGAATAACCAAGAAAAATTCTTTCATCACTTTTTGCATTAAATTTGCCCAAATTATCTTTTCCATTATTTAAAACAAAACGCTTGCATCCAAAATGATGAAAATAAATAATGTTAGGCTTTTTATTTTTGAAAATTTATATAGAGTTTTCTTTAAAAACAAGCCTAATGATTACTCTATTAATCACATAACAAGTGATATTTATGGCTTTCACCCAAAAATACTTTAACAAATTGTTTTCACAAAGCATGGTCCTAGCAATTTCTTCTAAAGTTCTATTTTTCCTCTCAGCAACTCCATTTTGTTGAGGGGTTCTAGGGGCCGAAAATTTATGGCTAATTTTATTAGAGTTACAAAACTTTTCAAAACCAAGATTTTGAAATTCAATTCCGTGATCACTCCTAACATTAGAAATTGAGTAACCTCTTCATTTTGATTTATTTTAGAGAAAGTGATAAAATTTTCTAAAGCTTTATATTTTGTACTTATGAAAAGTCCCAAGTAAATCTAGAATAATCATCTACCAAAGCAAATGCATATTGTTTTCCACCCAAATCAATAGTTCTAATAGGTTCAAAAAGATCTATATAAATCAATTGCAATACTTTACTAGATGATGCATCATTAATAAGTTTAAAAGAAGTGATTTTCGTGTTTACCTTTAGCACATGCATCACAAATCTTATCAAGATAAAATTTTATCTTAGACAAACCTTTTACTAGATTGCTTTTAACAAGTTTTTGTAAAACACTCATCCTAGCATGTCCAATTTTCCTATGCCACAACCAACAATCATGCTCATCTTTAGCAACCAAACATACATCACAAATGTCAGTATTATCTAAATGCACCATGTAAATATTTCCTATTCTATGACCAACAAGAAAAATCATATTATATGCAATGTCAACAATTTTGCAAGTATTATACTCAAAAAACATTTCCAATAATAATGAAAGAGTTATTACCAATAGAATCAATTCCTTTTATAAGTGTTTAATATTGCATATATTTGTTGTTATTTACTCCTTATTTTCGATTCAATATTACTGATTTATATTTAGCTTGGGTTTTTGTTAGATTAATTAGCCTAAAACTAACAGATTTTATTGGTCCAGTCAACATCTTCTAGAAGACGAGCGAAATTTTTTTGAATATTTAATTTGGAATTTACTTGGGATGACAAGGTTATCTAGAAGATAAAGTAGAAAATCAACCAGAACTACAAGAATTAAATATTTATTTTTATCTTTTGTGATAAACCTTGTAGATTTAGGATTTTTAGTCTGATTATATTATTATTATTTTATTTTGGAATTATTTATTTTATTTTTATCTTGGGTTATAAATACCCCTTAGGTTCAACTGTTAAAATACATATTGGAATTTATATTCCTTTGGTTATTTATTAAAGTTTTTCTTTTCTTTCATTATTTTCTTTCATTATTTTCTTTCCACAATGCTAAGTATGTTCCTAGCCATGTTTAGCTAAATTTCCACTTAGCCAAAGGTTTTTGCGAAACTCAATCCTAACTGTGAGAAATGAGTCTTTATTTGAAGATTGTTTTGCTTGAAGTTTGGAAGTCGGATCGTTTGGTTGTAATTCGGCCTCCTGTGAATAAACTTAGTGATGGTTCGCTAAGAGAAATCAAGATCGAGTTCGATTCTAGGTGAAATACTATACATTTAGTCAGATTTTTCTATAACCTAAAGATGTTTTGGATCTAACAGTAATAGACTTGGTTAGACTAACAAGGATCAGATTTCATAGATAGACTTGGAAATTTCAATTAACCATAGAGAAGAGTTAGCTACAGGGGTTGGACCCTGTTGACTATAACTAGTGTACATCACGGAAGAAAATTTTTATTTCGATGATCGATTGAAATCGAGGCTAAGCAAAACCTAAGGCTATATCATCTTTATTTAATTCTTCTACTTTATTTACTTTATTTATTTTCTCATTATTTTTTATTATTTATTTACTTTCATTAATTTTAAAATCCCCCTCTTTTATTTTTTATAGTTGATTCAATATGAGAAACACCATTATTAAACTTCCTTAGTTCCTGTGGATCGATCCTACTTCTCTATACTACTTTTTTTATTTGAGAATAAATAATTATTTTTATTTGGAAAATTCAACGTTTTTCATCATTCAATTTGATTTTTTTGAGTTTTCACCAATGGTTACTAGTCCTCCACTTTTAGCTTTAACCTCCAAGAAGCCAACTCTTATCACTGGTCATGTGTCTTTAGCATCCACTATCAAGATACCATGAGTTTGAAATTTTTCTTTGTGCCTTGTAGCAATGCTCCTCTACCTACAAACACAAATCAAGTTTTGATATTTGGTACCCAAATTCTTTTGGGTCCATTAGCATTAGTTTCCAATAATCTTGTTCCCTTTGGTATCCATTTTTCAAGGATGTCCTTATCATTAGTAGTAATGAATCCTTTGGGGACCCGTATGCTTCTAATAGCTTTTTATATGAGGTTTTTTGTGGAATAATTAAAGCTATTTTTAATATAGTTAATTTTTGAATGTTCAACTTTTTCAAATCTTTTTGTCCCAACATGGTTAAAAAAAGTTTTAAGACCATTAAGATTATTTTGATGATCATCATGAACTTTGAAAGTACATTATGCAAATTTTGATTTTTCTTTTCAAACTCTTCAAGTTTGACTTGCATATCTTGACTTGACTTTCAAGTTTAAGATTAGTCTTAGAGAGGATAACATTTTCATATTTCAATTTTGAAATATTTTTCTTATGCTTAGAAATCATGTTATCAAATTCTAAGGCTAATCCATCGTAAGCTTCTTGCAGTCCATCAAAAGAATACTCATTTGAAATAGATGAAATAGAGGTTACCTTATAATCATCCTCTATGGCCATGAGATACAAGTTGACTACTTCTTCCTCCTCTTTATTGGAGGACTCATCATCACTCCATGTAGCTACATG